AATGAATCCAACCACCGCAGAGCTAGGCTCCTACAGAGAGGCTACTGCCCTCTGCCCATAACAGTATTCTCAATTTCCAAAGATGATTCTCTCTCTCCTCTCATCATTCCCTATATACCTCAGCTATACTCACACGTTTGGCAAATCTGTTAGATCCATTGCCACCTCATCATTACTTTTCTCACCACCTTTCCTCCTAACATACACCCTCCAAACCTTAGGCCTTTCGTTTAAGTCCAAACCTGCACTACCAGGCCTATCAATACCCCCTTCTTCAAAAGGAGACTTGTCCTCAAGTCTAAGGTGAGGGAATTGACTGTTGATGTTAAACTCTTCTTCCCAAGTTGCCTCTTCCATTCCATGTCCTTTCCAATGAACTAATACTTGGCTAACTGATTCCCCACTTTTCTTGAACACGCCTTGCCAACACTGTCTCCAGCTCCACACTTACTGCATTGTCAATGGCCCAAATCTAGGGGAAGTATCTCCTCCACCTTGTAGTCACCTATCGCCCTTTTCAATAGAGAGACACATGAAACATTGGATGAATCTTTTCAGCTTCAGGTAATTGCAGTTTATATCACAGCTCCAACCCTACTCAACACTTGAAAAGGTCCATAGCAACAAGGGGCTAACTTAGGATTAATTCAGCCTCTCCTAAAGTTAGCTGTCCATGAGGTCTAAGCTTTAGGAAAACCCATTCCCCTACCTCAAATTGCATATCTTTTCGCTTACGATTTGCTTGACCCTTCATCCTCATTTGAGCTCTTTGTAACTGATATTTCAATTGTTTGAGTGCTTCATCCCTATCATGACTCCCTTTGTACAACCTCAACTCACACTTCGCATGGCAAGAATCTACTCAACACAGGTGGTTTCCCACCATAACCACCTCAAACGAAGTTGTCCCAGTTGAAGCGTGGAAATTGATATTGTACCAATATTCAGCCCATGAAAGCCAAAGTACAGACAACTTAGGTTGATCCATTGCAAAACACCGAAGAAATGTCTCTAAACAGTGATTAACTACCTCTGTTTGACCATCTGTTTGTAGATGATAAGCCATGCTTATTTTCAACTGTGTACCCTACAACTTAAACAACTCCTTCCAGAATAAGCTCACAAAAATGGGGTCGCAATAACTAAGTATGGAAGCGGGAATACCATGCAAACAAACCACCTCACTTGTGAGGATTTCGGCCAAAACCCTTGCTGAATAAGGATGCTTCAAAGGAATGAAATGGTTGTATTTGGACAACCTGTGTAGCACAACTGAAATTGCCTTGTACCCTTTAGATTTTGGAAGCCCAATGATGAAATCCATTGAAATCTCCTCCCATACTTGTTCTGGAATGTGCAATGGTTGTAGCAAACCTCCTGGAGCTGCAACAAGGTATTTATAACGTTGGCAAACATCGCAAGCCATCACAAATTGTTGAACAGTTCTCTTCATTCCAAACCAAAACAAATTAGCTGCCAATCTCCTGTATGTTCGGTAATAACCTGAATGGTCTCCTTGAGGAGTTTTATGAAATTCCTTGAGCAGCTTCGAAATGCAATCAGATGTTGATGACAACACTAACCTTCCTTCATAGAACAACGTACCATGCTTATTGTTGACAGGGTGTCAAAAGAGGATTAAATCTCTATTTGATTCCCAGAAATATTTTAGTTAATAACTTAATATGTTTAATTTGTTTCCTTGTATAGCTAGTAATTACTTTATTTTCTATAATTACTTTGTTACCTTTTTTAGTTCAGCTTATTTTAGGTAATTCATTATTGTCATATTTTCTTTCCTTATTTTAGGATTTAGTTTCCTCATTTCACCTGATGTAATTCCCCTTTATAAAAGGGAGGAAACCCTACACAGAAAATTACCAATAATATTTCATACCTTAAACTTGGTATTAGAGCACAATCTCTGTGCCTCTGATTTGCAGCCATCGCTGACAGTTCCTCAGCCATCAGCAATGATCAAAATTCATAGCCACCAAAACATGAGCAAAGGGTCATTTTTGGCAATTCTCATTCTAATCAAATCACCTCTTTTCAACTTAATGGGTTGAACTATCTTTGGTGGTCCCAATCTGCTCAAATGTATATTCGTGGAAGAGGAAAGCTTGGATACCTCACCGGTGAGCGAGCCAAGCCCAATGCTAACAACCCACAACACGATGTGTGGGATGCTGAAAACTCCATGGTGATGACATGGTTGGTGAACTCCATGGAGGAGGACATCAACAACAATTATGTGTTATTCCAAAGCCCAAGAATTGTGGGATAGTCTCATTGAAATGTATTCAGATCCTGGAAAAAAATCTCGGATTTATGAACTCACCTTGTAAGCTAGAGAAATTCGACAGGGAGGTGACAATATCACAAGATACTTCCACTCCTTGAAGCGAGTGTAGCAGGACCTTGATCTCTTCAACACTTACAAGTGGAAGTATGGAAGTTCCAACATGGAAAAAAAGATTGTTGAAGAAATGGGTCTAAATCTAATTCAGACCGTCAAACATCAATACAGTATAAAAAAGTATCATATGGCAGTCAAGAAAGTGAAGCTGCTCATCTTCAATAGGGAAGAACCCATAGATGAATCAACGGGGCAGAAACATACTTTGAAGTGCATAATACTTCAGAAGAAGTGAAGATCAAATTGGCTAAGTACAAAGGGATCAACCGTCCATTGGTTCAATCTTTTGAGAGAAAGAGAAGATGATTTTCCTTCAAAAAGTAAAAAAGGGTTGTTTGTAGTGAGCGGATTGTCTAATGTTGTGGTGGGGAAGTTCTCTACCATTATGGTGAATATCTCACATCAGCTAATGATATGGCTAAAATAATATATATAGATGTAAGAGGCAATCTCCTCACTTCTTAGAGAATCTAGTAGACAAAATTACATATATAAAAAGTCTTTTCCATTCAACTGAAATGAATGAAGACAATAAGAGGCTTTTTCCTACTAGCAGCCTTGGGGACAAGGTTTATTTCAACAGGCAGTAATGATGGATTGATTGGAACCAAGATACAAGTGGGTGGGATTAAGAAGGATCCATTGGTGAATTGGAGGCAGTTATTATTAGGGGTGTATGTGATAGAAATAATTTATCCTATTTTAGTAATTAAGTATAAGTTCTATATCGGAAATTCTATGATGGCAAATATTCATAGAAAATAACTGAAAGCAATTCTGTATTAGAATTATATCTGGTAACAGGGTGTGTAATTAGGCAAGTGTGTTGTTATTTGCAGTTTGTGGATAGAGAATACTCTCTGTTGGAGACTTTTGTCTCTAGGACAACAATTGTATTGTTGTATTGTGTGTGTGTGTGTTTTTTTTTTACTTCATATTGTTGCATTGTGTGTGATCTCTATGTTCAGAATTATATTTTATTAGCTACTCCTTTTACAAAATTATATGCACAACTAACAAAAGGACTCCATCTCCCAGTCTTCAAGCCCTTAATGTATAAGGACTTCTGTTTGCATCTAGTGCCTGTTAAGTAAACAGACAATTTATTATTCTAAAAGGTAAAAACAAAGAAAATGCAGAAACAAAGCATTCTAATCAAAATTTTCAAAAGACAGGAAGGTCTGTAATCACTAGTATAGCATACAACCAGATATAGCTGAGGTTTCGTACCAAGACATGCAATTGATATGCTGATGAACACTACAGATATACTTTGATGATGAAAAAAAAAAATTACCCAAAACCATTTTCTTGGGAATGCTCCACCCCAGTTCTTCTCAGAATAAGATGGGGCATTATCAAACTCAATCCTCTCGCCATCCCACTCTATCCAACCTGAGATCCAATATTTATACGAGGAAAATGAATGAGGACATAAATATCATATCACAAACAATAGTGGTTAATTTTTAAAGAACACGTGCACTTCAAAATTGATTATCAAACAGGATCTTAAAAGCAGATCTTAAAATAAACATTAACCTTCTAAACATGAATAACATCACTCTCTCTCTTCTTTACCCGACTCACATCTTGGCTCTAGCAGCAAGTATATCCTTTCAGCATTACAATAATCATGATATTTAATATCTTGTAAGTGAGTAAATGTCAATCACTTTGGTAAATTACATTAGTAGTTTACTGCCATAATAGATTCATATCAACATTTCAGACATAGCAAGCAGGACACTAGACCACAAAATAAATAAACGGCTGAATAGCCAATGCTGAACAAGTAGCAAATACCTGTTGACAGTCCAGCAGCCATGCATATTTGCCAATGTGGTTCAAAAACAGGAAAAGCTGCAAGCCAGCCAGCAGTTGACTTCTGCGTTGACCCAACATCACCCCAACCATATACGGGGAGTGTACTGTACTCCCAACGAGCTGTTTTTACCGTTTCTACATAATCTGACCTATAATTAAAATCCATGTCAAATACCAATCCAATCAGAGAATGCAATACTTAAATAAAAGCAATCCAAGATCCAACCCCCACCTTCCATCATCGCGAATAAAACCTTGATTCCAAAGAGGAGTGACTTGAAAACCTTCCACCACTCTATTATTAAATTCCTAATCAAAACAACCAAATACAAAGCACAATAAGCGTAAACAGAGAGCAAGACTTGTCGCACGAAGCCTACTATGACAACACAGAACATAAACCTGAGGCGGAACCTCCTTGTTTGGAGGCTTAGAATTTTGCTTGGATATGAAAGTGTTCCCTAACATTAGTTCATGCCTACCTAAGCATTTAAAAACACGCGATTTCAAATAAACAGAATAATGGGGATATGATGAGTCACTTAAAATATGGACAAAACTTAATTACATTCTCTTGGTGTTGTTCTCTGATAAGAATTGGAGTTTTACTGTGGTTAAATACATATTTCCAATTCTAACTGGAGAATAGCATCAAAATCAAATGGAGTAGTAACTAAATTTTGTACTTAAAATGTTTCCAATGTGAAAGAACATTGCAAAGTCAAAAACGTGAAACCCTTACTTCCCCAGAAGAATTGCGATTCGGGAGAGTATTGGCAAATATACTTGTCGTCGGCACCGAGAATTTGGGCCCCGACGCCGGTAAACCTGGACCCGAATTGGGCCAGTTCGAGCTGCGTCAACGGCTTACGAAACGAGGGACTCTCGACGGAATACATGAAGCAGAAGCTCTGCCTCCGTTCGGGAATGGAGACTTTGAAGTACCAACCCTCGAAGAATTTTCGTGCAGTCCCATCGAAATGGTACCTATTATTCATCGATTGAACTAATTAAGCAAAAATAGGAACATGGAAGTGGTTAATTGAAGGAGGAGAATGAAATACCCGCTGTGAGGAGTTCGAAGGTCTCGATTGGGAGGAGTGGGGGAGTAATTAGGTTTGAGTTGTTCCTTTTGGTTTTTATCAATGGGAACGGTATCTGAAACGGAACTGCGAACTACGAGGCGCGTGGTTGTTGATGATGACGAAAATGAACGTTTGAGAGAAGGAAGAGGGAGAAAGGGGAGCGCGTGTGTGGGAGAGAAAAGACGAGGCTCCCAGAGTTTGGCTTCCATGGCAATGGCGATGTAGAGTGCATGTGGAAGTGGTGCCAAGAGTTTTGACGATAGTTTTTATTGTCTTTAATTTAATGGCTTCCATGAACGCGTATCGGCTTTGCCTAACGCACAAGCGGTGCTGAATTCACATCAACGATGCACGTGGACGTTCCCACCTCTCATGTCCTGATTTTGCATTAAAGACTACCTTTTTTTTTTTATAGTCATTTAAAGTTTTACACGACATTTTTTTATTTTTAAAAATATTTATTTTTTATTTTTTTATTTTTTTATTTTTTTTTTGCATTCAAGTCTTGAGACGGTTGATTTGTGTACATTTATTATTGTTATGCACCTTTTGAAAAGTTCATGAATTAATATATTAATTATTAGAGTGTAAATAACTGTCCCTTTTTCTATTTTTTTAATATTTAGTTGGAAATATATTGTCTTCATAAATGTAACATTAACTTCACATAGGTGATTGAAGAAAATAGGTAGATATTAGAAATAAATAGACACATTGTTCAGTAAACATACATTAATTATCAAGGATAAAAATAAAGAAAAATAATTAATAAGTCATTGATTTTAGTAAAATGACAATGAAAAAAAAAATAACAAAACATTGACAAAATGACTATAAAAAAAACGGAGGGAGTACCACCTTCCTACATTTTCTCTCAACAAAATAAGTCTTAACAGCACCAAAAATAAAAATGAATTTTGATAGGTTTATTGATATTGGATTTCATTTTTAAATATAAAATATTTGAATTTAAGTTTTATATTTATAAAAATATTAATTTAATATTATTTTTATTATTTAAAAATTTTAAAAAAAAATTATCTAAAAATATATATATCAAATGAGATAATTATCTTTATTATATATTATAGATAATTAATGAAGTCGAGAGATTTCTTATTTCTATATTTAATTTATAAAATTAAAATAAAATTATGATTATTTATATTAATATATAAAAGGATGTCACTTTCAGGTTTTAATAATTATTTTTGGTTTTTATTTTTATTTGAACTATTTTATCTTTTGTTTATTTTCTATAACTCTCTAAGACTACCTTTGCCTATGAGTAATTTTTCATTTTTTTTCTTTTTTCTATTTTATTCTGAAACTACTATAAGTGCTTATAAAAATAATTATTTTTTTCTTTTAATATAATTCAGGCACATAGTGCCTTTTTCTTGCTAGTTAAATAATAAAGGTAGTTAAATAATAAGAATAATAGAGTGAGTAATTATTAGAAGAGAATGATAATTACTAGAAAAATAAATTTTTTTATTTTTTAATAATAAAAGAATATATAGTCTATTAAATATGGAGACTGAATGTGATTACTAAAAGGAATATCCTTTTTTATATTAGTATTAGTAGGAAACGAGATATTTTGTGCCTTTATATATATATATATATTTATTTTTAAAAGAATTTTGCAAGAATATATTTGTTAAATCTGTAACAGCCCAAATTTTTACTCGGCCGTGGGCCCAATTCGTTGCCTGGAACGGGCCGTTTCGAAAGTGAAACGGGCCGTTCCGGAATAAAGAATTTTCCTAAAAAACGTAGTTGAGAACGGGCCGTTCCGGTTGGAGAACGGGCCGTTCTGAAGGTAGAACGGGCCGTTCTGCTGGGTTTTGGAACGGGTCGTTCCGGTTTTGGAACGGGCTGTTCCAGTTGAGATTTTTGTTTGGTTTTGGAGGGTCCAGAACGGCCGTTCCACTTTTGGAACGGGCCGTTCCGGATTAGCTGAGGCAGATTCCTATAAATAGGAGGCCTTACCTCTCATTTTCTCACATCTCTCATTCTCTCTTCCTATTCTCTTCTGTTCTTTCTTCTTCCCCTCTTCTTCTCTCTGAAGACCATGGGGCACTTAGAGGAGGAGACCAAGAGATCCCTGTTGTAGTTTCAACTGCTGTTTATCCAGGTACGGGGGAAAAGGGGATTATTTATATGTGGAGTTACATGAGGGAATTGGGTAGAATAAGAGCCCTTAGGATTATGAGTAATTTTATAATTATTTCTGTTTGAAAAATTATTGGCATTATTTGATTCTGTATGAATTTAGGATTATGAATATATGATTTATTTGTAAAAATGATGCTCTGGGAGAGAGAACGAAATTATAGAAAAGTGCCTGTAGGCTAGGTTTTGGAAAAATTGAAATATTTCTGTTTGAGGAATTAATGATACCATTAGATTCTGTATGTGTTGAGGATTAGAAATATATATTTAATTTGTAAGAATGATGATCTGAGAGGGAGAACGAAACTGTAGAAAAGTGCCTGTGAGTTAGGTTTTGAAAGAATTGGGGGTTTTATTGTTTATGTTAAAGTTATATGAAATTGATAATTCCATTGTTTATAATATTAATTTATGAATGTTATTATTGTATTGATTGATAAGAATGAATGATCTTGATGTGAATTACTTGAGGGGTGTGTAAACCCTTATTTTGTTGGGCTTATCTGTTGTGTATGTGAGGTGGAATTGTGTACGTGATGTGAATTTGAATTATGAGATGAGATGTTGTATGGATGTGATTATGATTGTGATTGTGGTGCCTCACATCAGTGACTAGGGATGGCACGGCCCCTGGGTAAGTGGTGCTACAGGGAGGGCGTGACCCTAGCATGGTGTGGGATGAGTAAGACAGTTAACACACACCACTTATGTCGATTATGGCAGCCCTGGCATAGGGTTAATTGCAAGAGACTGTATGGATTGTAATTTGATTGTGGTTCCTCACACTAAAGGATCAAGGATGATACGAACCCTGGTAGTTGATGTTTCAGGGACGAGCGTACTCCCGGATGATCAGGGATGATACGAACCCTGGGTAGGTGATGCTTCAGGGACGAGCGTACTCCTTAATGACTAGGGATGGCACGACCCCTGGGTAAGTGATGCTACAGGGAGGGCGTGACCCTGGTTTGGTGTGGGAGGCAATTAACCTGTATCACTTGTGTCAGATGTGGCGAGGTCTTGGCATAGTGTTAATTGTAAGATTGGTGTGAATTATGGATGTGGAAATGATATTGTTAATTGTAAGATTGGTATGAATTATGGATGTGGAAATGATATTGTTAATTGTAAGATTGACATGAATTATGAATATGGAAATGATGTTGTAAATTGTATAATTGGTGTGGATTATGATGGATTGAGATATGTATGTGAAATGAGATATGTTAAATGTGAATTGAGATGTGAAGATGATGAATGATTGATATATATATATATATATATATATATATATATTATTAAATAATGAATTATGATGAGATTATATTGTGATGTGTTTGTATGTACTTTGCATATAGATATTTTCTTTTCTCACCGTATAAACTGTGGATATTTTAGGTGAAGAAGATCCGGCTACGAGTGGCATCTAGAATGCCAACAGTTAAATTATGGGAATGCTCTGATAGTGTGACATCGGGGCAGAGGATTTATAGGACAGAATATTTATATGGATTTGGTATTGTAATAAATGATTTTAAAATTGTAAACTCTTAAATTTTACCTTTCAAGTTTTATTTTTCAGTCATTTCTTATATTGAAGAAAGAACAGTTTTGAAGTTTTATGTGAACCCTTTTACGAACCCTTTGAAAGTTTATTCTTCTTAATTAAATTATATTATATATGTGTTGGGGTAGTAAGGGTGTCACAAAATCTATGGATAATAATGTCTAATACATAAATGAAAATCAAAATAGTGATTATCAAAACATATTCCCCTTATAATAGGTATGAATTATAATATGTATGGATAAATAAGTAATAAAAGCAGTTAAATAATAAAAGTAATAGAGTGGATATTCATTAGAAGAGAATGGTAATTACTAAAAAAATATTTTTTTATAATAATTAAATATAAAAAAACAAAGATGGTTACTAAAAGAAACTTTCTCTTTATATATTTGTATAGATAATATAGATTAAAAGAGAAACATAATTACTAAAAAAATTATTAATTTTTTTTATAATAATTGAAGAGTATAATGGTTTATTAAATATAGAGAGTAAATGTGGTTATTAAAAAGAATATCTTCTATATATATTAGTATAAATATTTGACAAATAAGGATAGTTGCAGCTCGCTAGTTGATACCTTTTTTTACTTTGCAATAAATGCAATAATTATATATATATATATATAGAGGATGGATCCGTTTATTCTAAGAGTAAGTCTACCTATACTTATTTTGTTTAATAACTCATGTAGTCATGTTCTATATCAAATTTCAATGATCCAATCGTTGAATTTAAAGTTCTTAATATATAGATCAAATTTGTAAATTTTTAGAAAATTTAAAAATTATTTGGTATTTCATTTCATTAATTCAAATCAACAAATAATTATAAAATCATGTTATGATTATCCATCAAATTGAATTAATGAAATGAAATATCAAATAATTTTTAAATAAAATGAATAAATTATTAAAATTAGAAAAAAATTAAAATAAATATTTTTAATTTATTTTATCATGAATTCAAATTTTATTTCAAATATACTATTTATTTTAAGTGTTTTTTTTATTTAATGTTGATGATAAAATAACATATAAGAAATATTGTTAACAATAAATAAAAGATAAAAAAAATATAATCATGAATAGTTTTAAAAAATGGTGATTGTTGATAATAATTAAGACAAAAACTCAACTTATAATTAAGATAAAAAATAATATTAATTTATTATTACACCCTTTTTTACTTTACTACGTCATATTCAACGTCACATTAAATATATATTAAATGTAGAGTATAAAAGGTTAAATTATTTATTTTTTCTCAATTATTTTATTTAATTAACTTTAAGTTTAAATATATTTTTAATTTATAAAAAATAAATATTTTTTTTATTTTAACCCTTAAATATTTCTTTTTACTTTTTATCCTTCTAAAATTTATAGATATTGCTTTTAATCACTGTAAAATGAATAAACTTTGGTTTAATTTTTGTAAAATATTATTTTTTTTTTCTAAAATTTTTAATGATTATTTTATGATAGATAAATAACATTTATTTGAAGTACCTATAACAAGAATTAGAGATTTTACCGTTG